CTGCTTTCCAAAATGCTGTCATACTCCCCGTCCTTGGGAACACTGGAATTTTACCTTGCAGGGGGACTGAAACAAAATATCAACCAGGTTGGAAAGAAGAAGAAGAGATTGGATTTACACCGCCCTTCACTACCCGAAGGAGTCTCAGAGTAGTTTACAAACTTCTTTCCCTTCCCCTCCCCACAACAGACACCCTGTGAGGTAGGTGGGGCTGAGAGAGCTCTTTTGAGAACTGCCCTTGAGAGAACAGCTCTGAAGGAATTTGTGACTGACCCAAGGTCCCACCAGCAGCTGCACGTGGAGGAGTGGGGAATCAAACCCGGTTCTCCCAGATTAGGGTCCACGCACTTAACCACTACACCAAACTGGCAAGACCAAGAGAAAACTTCCTTATTTCTCACATTCAGATAGACTGCGCCTGCTCCTTATTTCTCACATTCAGATAGACTGTCACCCTTGGTGACAACAGCTTCCAAGGGACACGCACCGCCACTTTTGTCCCTTCCCAAGGCTGAGTGGCTTACTGTGCTATTTTGAGTTGGACTGCAAGGCAAAGCGGAAACAGTGCTCTTGGCCTCCTGCCCACACTGAGCCTCTTAACAAGCTCTGGGTATCTGCCTCCACTGGCCATCTATGCAAACATGCTGATGAATGATTCCACTTTGAAAAGAAAACATAATATCAATGTCTAACAATGTATGACACTCAATTACCAATTTGCACCCCAATTTGGGCTTCCTCCACAGAACTGGGGCCACTACCAACTCACCCTCCTCTTATTACTGAAGAAAAGCACGTTTTTCTTAATAGGGATGCTTCCAAAACTCAGCTCAACTTAACTGGATCTTCTGCATTTAGTGGAGTGCCTCATGCATGTGCATAAGAACATCAGAAGAGCCCTTGCTGGATGAGACCAGTGAGGGTCCATCTAGTCCAGCATCCTGCCTCACACAGTGGCCTCAACCAGTTCCTCTGGAGGGCCACCAACAGGGCAGAGAGGCCGAGGCCTTCCCCTCATAAGAACATCAGAAGAGCCCTGCTGGGTCAGACCAGTGAGGGTCCCTCTAGTCCAGCCTCCTGCCTCACCCAGTGGCCTCAACCAGTTCCTCTGGAAGGCCAACAAAAGGACAGAGAGGCTGAGGCCTTTCCCTGATGTTGTCTCCTGGCTCTGGGATTCAGAGGCTTAGTGCCTCTGAATGTGAAGGTTCCCTTCAGTCGCCATGGCTAGTAGCCACTGATAGACCTCTCCTCCATGAATCCATCTAATTCCCTTTTAAAGCTGTCTTTGCCTGTAGCTATCACTACATCCTCTGGCAGTGAATCCCACGTTTTAATCAATTTTCTGGACTTCTTGGTCTCTCCGTATTCCTTTTTGATTTTCAGGCTTTATGTAAAGCTCTCCACTTGTACAATTTGTCTGTCCTGAACCTACTGCCCATCAACTTCATTGGATGCCCTCGAGTTCTAGTATTTTGGAAGAGGGAGAAAAGTGTCTCTTTGTCAACTGTCTGCATAATTTTATGAACCTCTGTCATCTCCCCCCCCCCCCCTTAGTCATCTCTCTTCTAAACTGAAAAGTCCCAGACTCTTTAGCCTTTCCTCATACGGAAGGTGTTCCAACACAGTATTGCTGAGGAAGGAAAAAGATATAGACAAAGGAACAGAAACCTGTGGGAAACTAGACGTGCTCTTATGGTGGAATTAATTCTAGACATTCCCCCAGTTAAACTGGGATTCAAGAAACGGAACACAGAGGGGGGGGGGGAATCTGGGACGAAGAAGTAGAGCAGAGATTGGATTTATACCCCACCCTTCACTCGGAGTCTCAGAGCGGCTTACAAACTCCTTTCCCTTCCCTTCCCCACAACAGACCCCCTGTGAGCAGTGTTCCCTCTAAGCTGAGTTAGTGTGAGCTAGCTCAGTTTCTTAGCTCCTGGGTCACACATTTTTGTCTTTGCTCAGGAAGGATGGCTCCAGAGCAAACTGATTTATGCAGTAGCCAAATCACTTGCTCACAACTTTAAAGCCAGTAGCTCACAAAGGAGAATTTTTGCTCACAAGACTCTGCAGCTTAGAGGGAGCATTGCCTGTAAGGTAGGTGAGGCTGAGAGACCTCTTTCAAGGACTGCTCTTGAGAGAACAGCTCTGACAGAACTATGGCTTGCCCAAGGTCATCCAGCAGCTGCAAGTGGAGGAGTGGGGATTCAAACCTGGTTCTGTCAGATTAGAGCCTACCACGCACTTAACCACTACACCAAACTGAATAAGGAATGGAATGGGAGAAATCCTCTCCTCGTTTCTCTCTGCCCCCCACCCATTAAAACAATCTTCACCAGTCAATGAAGATACCCTTGTGACTTACTTGATGCCTCCCGCCTTTCGGTGATGGTCTGCCGGCACATCGATGCCTTGAGTGACACGGCCGCACCCGGGCTCGGTCGAAGAACAGCAGCACAACACGCAAAGACCTCACCACTAAGGGCAGGGGGCACCACGGCCGGGAGGGGTAACACAGCACGGCACACGAACTCGGGCACCCGCGAGGCCCCCCTAGTCCAACACCTCCTTCAGGCACCAGCAGCAGAGAAGGACGTAAGCGCAGTCGCGGAGCGTTTCCAGGCACCAATAGCTGAAGTTGCCCGGCACGTTGCCCTTGAAGTAGGGTTGCGCCATGCCTCGCGCCGCCCGCCACAGGCCGTTGCGACCCAGGGGGGCCGCCGTGGTCCAGGGACGTGGGCCTATAAACCTCTGCAGAGGATACATCGTACTGGGAAAGATTTTGCCTCAGAGCTGGGTTCTGCCTGGCGTGTGATGCTGTCCCTGCTTTTACTTGGGCTCACTGGAAGCTTCTGTATTCTCCGAGCAGTCACAGGGGGCCCTGTCATTCATGCCCCGTGGAAGCTTGGGGGCGGCTGCTAGAACCTGCATTGTTCCCGTCCCCAAAGGGGAGAGAGTTCAGCCTATTTCACACACACGAGCGTGCCCCAGAACAACAGAAGCGCAGAGTCTCATGTTTGGCTGTCATTGTGAGCTACCAGGAATGTTTTTAATGGAAAGGACGTCCTAAAGGGATTTTTAAAAAATCACCTCTCATCCCTCATTTCAAATTGGATGGTTGCCCACTTCATTCTGCCAGGGTTCTTCCTGTCGTTGGCCCTCCAGAGGAACTGGTTGGGGCCACTGTGTGAGACGGGATGCTGGACTAGACGGACCACTGACCCAACAGGGCTCTTCTTATGTTCTTATGAGGCCTTGGCTTCTGTGCCCTGTTGTTGGACCACCAAAGGAACTGGTTGGGGCCCCTGTGTGAAACAGGATGCTGGACTAGATGGACCACTGGTCTGATCAAGCAGGGCTCTTCTTATGGAGGCGGCCTTGGCCTCTCTGCCCTGTTGTTGGCCCTCCAGAGGAATTGGTTGGCCACTGTGTGGGACCGGATGCTGGCCTAGATGGACCCTCACTGGTCTGATCCTGCAGGGCTCTCCTGGTGTTCTTATGAGGGGAAGGCCTCGGCCTCTCTGCCCTGTTGTTGGCAGTCCAGAGGAACTGGTTGAGGCCCCTGTGTGAGACAGGATGCGGGACTAGATCGACCCTTACTGGTCTGATCCAGCCAGACTCTTCTTATATTCCAGTGTCTTTGGCAGCTTGGTCGCTAGGAGAAAGGCTGCCACTTAGAGGAGGCCAGGGAGCTTTTTCCTGTTGGCAACAGAAGACAGGACTCACAATAATGGGTTTAAATTACAGGCAGAAAGATTCCAGGTGGATATCAAAAATTTTTTTTAATAGAGTTGTTCAGCAGTGGAAATCGCTGCCTAGGAAGGTGGTGAGCTCCCCCTCACTGGCAGCCTGCAAGCAGCGGCCGGACAAACACTTGTCAGGGAAGAAAGGTTAAAGAGGTTAGGGCTTCTTACTTTGGAGAAACAACGACTGAGGGGTATTGTGATAGAGGTTTACAACATTATGCACGGGGAAGAAGAAGAAGAAGAAAAAGGAGGAGATTGGATTTCTACCCCACCCTTCACTACCTGAAGGAGTCTCAGAGCGGCTTACAATCTCCTTTCCCTTCCCCTCCCCACAACAGACACCCTGTGAGGTAAAAGAAGAGATTGGATTCATACCCCACCCTTCACTACCCGAAGGAATCTCAGAGCAGCTTACAATCTCCTTTCCCTTCCCCTCCCCACAACAGACACCCTGTGAGGTAAAAGAAGAGATTGGATTCATACCCCACCCTTCACTACCCGAAGGAATCTCAGAGCAGCTTACAATCTCCTTTCCCTTCCCCTCCCCGCAACAGACACTGTGAGGTAGGGCCAGTCACAAGTTCTCTCAGAGCTGTTCTCTCAAGGGCAGTTCTCGAGAGAGCTCTCTCAGCCCCCACCTGCCTCACAGGGTGTCTGTTCTGGGGAGGGGGAGGGAAAGGAGATTGTAAGCTGCTCTGAGACTCCTTCGGGTAGTGCAGGGCGGGATATAAATCCAATCTCTTCTTCTTCTCTTCTTGTTGTGAGGGTAAAACACAGGAAGCGAAACCATTATATTCCACCCTGAGCTCCTGAGGGGACAGGCCAGATAAAAATGGAGGAAATAAACAAGGGTAGTTTATAAGGAAAATAACCCACCATGTCAACAGAGAACAGTTTAAAAAAAACAACCCAGTCTTGGGAATGCAATACATAGGCTTGTTTACAACTTGTGGCTCGTGTGGCCACAGTGAATCGCGGCTCTCAAAGGGGTTGGACCCAGACCATACCAGCAATTCCAACCAGTTCCCTCCTTCCGCTGCAGGCCCCCCCCAGCCCATTGGCATTGCCAATCTCCAGGTGGGGGCTGGAGATCTCCTGAGACTACAACTGATCTCCAGTCTGTGGAGATCAGTTCCCCGGGAGGAAACGGCAGCTTTTGGGGGGGACGGGACTCTGTGGCATTACTTCTCGACGAGGCCCCTCACCTCCCCAAAACTTGCCATTCCCAGGCTACACCCCCAAAATCTCCAGGAATTTCCCTACCCAGTGTTGGGAATCACATGGCACATGCCATGCCTCAGAGTCCCCTCTCCTCCTGGGGTAGCATTTTGTGGAAGTCAGTGAGGCCGCAGTGGGAAGGGGAGGAAGGAAACTTCCTTTCTGCCGCTGGAGCATTCGATCTGGATCCAACCCAACGTGCTAAAAAAGGCATAAATGTTAACGCCAGGACGGGACCTTAGGTGAGGGAGGACAAAAACCGAAGGAGGCGATGCAGAAGCTTGAATCAACAGGATTTACTAACTTGGCCCCCTGGGCTCATTTAACGTAGGGGCGCAGTGTGCATAACCTCCTACTGGCCGTCGTGTGGGGCAGCCCCCACAGGCTGGTGGCGGGGCCCGAGAGGCTGCCGGATGGCACTCCAGTATGTGTCCGTGGAGGGGCACTGGGTGCTTTTCACCACAGGCCTTACAGGCCTGGCCCAGTCCTCATTGTACTCTAGGAAGGCCGAGAGTTGCCGGGGCAACCAAGGCAACTGAAGGCTCAAAGGCGGGAGGTGCGTTCGTCCTCTTCATTCTCTAGCTTGTAGGCCGGCCGGTAGCATTCCCGCCCCCGGGCGTCCGTGTAGCGCAGGGCCGGGTTCTTCTGCGTGTTGTTCATGCTCCCCAGCGAAGTGTAGCTGCCAAAATTGGGGGAGAAAGGTTAGGGTTAGGAGAAGAGGTCACTACTAACACACGTGAAACTCTCTTTGTTATGCTGCTCAGCAAGGGTGTTGTTTCCAAGGAGACTCGAGAGTCAGTGCCGGAGCCCATTTTGTCTTCACAACAACCCAGTGAGGGAGAGAGATTGACTGGTCCAGGGCCCCCCAGTGAACTTCACAGGAGAGCTGGAATCTGAACTCAGGTCTCACCAGCTCTGGCGCAGTATTCTAACCACTGCACTGCACTAACCCTCTCACCTAAGCTTTGACCCATGGTAAGGTAAAGGTAAAGGTAAAGGTTCCCTTGCTCGAAAGCTAGTCGAATCCGACTCTAGGGTTGCGGTGCTCATCTCTGTTTCAAAGCCGAAGAGCCAGCGCTGTCCAAAGACGTTTCCGTGGTCATGTGGCCGGCATGACTAAACACCGAGGCGCACGGAACACTGTTACCTTCCCACCGAAGCGGTACCGTTGGCAGGAGCTGGAACTAAAGACGGGAGCTCACTCCATTATGCGGCACCCGGATCTTGAACTGCTGAACTACTGACCTTCCACAGCCTGCAGTTCAGTGTCTTAACCACTTGAGCCACCGCAGCTCCTTGACCCATAGTACTTGGGTTCAAATTTCTGCTCAAGTCCCATGGATGACATTTTGCCCATTCACAATCTCTCAACTAAACCACCTCACAGGGCTGTTGTAAAGGCTGAAAAAATTGTGTCTACTGTGCTGTGGGAGATGGAATGTCGGACTTGGAACTGGGGCCAAGTCCCTGCTCAGCTATGAAACGCACTGGCTGTCCTTGGGCCGGGTCAAGCCTACCTTGCAGAATTGTTGTAGCGACAACACAGTGGGAAAACCTACATGTTACTCTGAGCTTCTTAAAAGAAGGATGGGATACGAAATACGAGTTTTCACGATTAGGGCTGTCAAGTTTTAGTCAATCAGCTGGACAGTTTTTAAATGATTAACTCTGCATATGATTAAAATGCTAATTCTAAAGATACAACATGCTGGTTTTTTTGTTTTTGAATGATACATGCGTGTGTCCCGTTAGGCCAGGTGTCCCCAACCTTTTTGAGCTTGTGGACACCTTTGGAATTCTGGCACAGGGTGGTGGGGCGCAGCCACAAAACGGCTGCCATGAAATGGCTGCTGCAGTAGGCAGAGCCAGCCACAAAATGGATGCCACAGCTTACCTTCAGTCACACAGTGGGTGTGGTCAGACGCGCCATTTGATCTGGTGTCGTGCCAGTTCAGAAATGGATTTTATCTACGCGATCACACAGTCAACATCTGCCTCCCATCCCCAGCCGTCGCTTTCCGGCTCAAAACTGCTTTAACTCTGAGTATTTTGATACCAGGTCCCCAAGTGGTGTTTTCCTGATTCTCTGGTTCCAGATGCATTTCCCCCCTGTGTGATCGCTCCACCGGTGTCGAGTCACTTCTGGTTTAAACCCCCTCCCTGCTCGAAAGCTGCCCGAGGCTTCCGCTTTTCGCCCACCATTTTTTAAAAAGCGTTGGTGGTGTGCGCATAGGCGGAAGTCCGCCACTGCGTTACTAAAAACAATGTTTAAACGGTGCCTAGTTTTAGTGTTTAGATGAGTTTGGGATCTCACGGAGGCCATTTTCGGGGTAAACATTTAAATGGAAGTGTTCCTGTAAAGTTTAAAGGGAAGTGTTACAGCAGCCGGGTTGAAGTGGAAATCGCTGTTCTGCGCACATGCGAAAATTTTAGTTCTACAGATGGCTTCCTGTCCGCATGCCCAAACTAAGAGAGAGGAAAAAACGTGTGGATGGCGGGAAGTGATGTGGCTGCGCGGCGATCCGGAGCAAGGAGGGGAGTGTGATCGCGTTTCTCCAGGTTAAAAAAGACCGCATCGGGGCCGGAGCAATTTAAACTGCTCCCAGCACGCCGTCTGACTGCACCCAGTGATGGAGCTGCTGACAAAGCAATGTTTTTAAAAATCTTCACAGCCAATCAGATTTCCAGTAGCCAATCAGAAGACTTGCAGGACTTGCACAGCCAATCAAATTTCCAGTAACCAATCAGAAGACCTGTTGGACAAAAGCCCCACCTGGCTCCGCCCACTTTCTAAACATACTTGGCGGATACCAGCTGGCAGGCACTGTGGCACCCACAGAAACCACGTTGGAGACCCCTGCATTAGGCCACCATCCTGAAAGAGGTATCCCCTATTCTCTTTCATACCTTCTTGGGTGATAAAAAGGCAGAATGCCTCTTCTAGTTCCTTGCCTCGTGTTTATGTTAAAAATAGTGAACTTTTAGTGAGAGCCAGTTTGGTGTAGTGGTTAAGTGCGCAGACTCTAATCTGGGAGAACCGGGTTTGATTTCCCACTCCTCCACTTGCACCTGGCTGGATGACCTTGGGCAAGCTGTAGTTCTGATAAGAGCTGTTCTTGAAAAAGAGCAGTTTCTGTCAGAGTTCTCTCAGCCCCACCCACCTCACAGGGTGTCTGTTGTGGGGAGGGGAAGGGAAAGGCGTTTGTAAGCCGCTCTGAGACTCCAAGTGAAGGGCGGGGTATAAATCCAATCTCTTCTTCTTCTTCTCTTTTAAAGAAAAGATTAATTTGAGGCCCCTTTTTAATGGATCCAGAGATTTTTAATCGGTTCGTTTTAGTGATTAATTGACTACATGCTAGGGCCTTACTCGTCTCCTGGCACTTTGCCTTCTCACACCCCCTTGAAAAGTCCCATTGGCGTGCTTACCCCTTATCATAAAGGATGCAGTAGGGGAGATACAGGCTGCGTAAGAAATTCCAGATATCCCGGTATGTCCAATCCTGGGGGGGAGGGGGAACCACAAAAGAAAAAAATGTTATCAGCAGGACTGGTGTGGGGGGTACTTTCTTGCACCCCCCCCCCCCATTTATGCACTGAGGTAACCCTAACTCCAAAGTGCTGGATAAGAACGTAAGAGAATCCAATGTTGGATCAGGCCAGTGGCCCATCCAGTCCAACACTCTGTGTCACACAGTGGCCAAAAATACCAGGTGCCATCAGGAGGTCCAGCAGTGGGGCTAGGGCACTAAAAGCCCTCCCACTGTTTGCCCCCCCCCCCAAGCACCAAGAACATAAGAGAAGCCATGTTGGATCAGGCCAATGTGGCCCATCCAGTCCAACACTCTGTGTCACACAGTGGCCAAAAACACCAGGTGCCATCAGGAGGTTCACCAAAAGGGCCAGAACTCCAGAAGCCCTCCCACTGTGCCCCCCCCAAGCACCAAGAATACAGAGCACCACTGCCCCAGACAGAGTGCTTCCTCTAGGCGTTGTGGCTAATAGCCACTCATGGACCTCTGCTCCACATGCTTATTCAAACCCCTCTTGATGTTGTCTGTGCTTGTAGCCGCCACCACTTCCCGTGGCTCTGAATTGCTCCCCCACCCCAAATTCTGGCTTTCCACAAACTATACAAAACTGAATTATTTGAGAGGGCTTTTCCACACAGTCAATGGGGTAGCCCTGCCCATCTTGTTCTGTCTGAAGAAGTGAGCAGTAACTCACAAAAGCTCCTGCCCTCCCACAAATTTTGTTATTCTTTAAGCTGCTACTGGACTTCTGCTCTTTTTCTGAAGAAGTGAGCCGTGACTCACCAAAGCTCCTACCCTGCCACCAATTTTGTTAGTCTTTAAGGTGCTACTGGACTCTTGCTCTTTTCTACTCTACCATGAGCTAGTTTGGTGTAGTGGTTAAGTGTGCAGACTCTAATCTGGGAGAACTGGGTTTGATTCCCCACTTCTCCACATGCAGCTGCTGGATGACCTTGGGCAAGCCATAGTTCTGTCAGAGCTGTCCTTGAAAAAGAGCAGTTTCTGTCAGAGCTCTCTCAGCCCCACATACCTCACAGGGTGTCTGTTGTGGGGAAGGGAAGGGAAAGGAGTTTGTAAGCCGCTCTGAGACTCCGAGTGAAGGGCGGGGTATAAATCCAGTCTCTCCTTCTTCTTTTCTTCTAGGAGGAGACAGTCTCCCGGTGGCCGGGAATCTCTGCATATTGGAATGAGACAGCCCTCAGAGGCCGAGACAGCTGGTTCTCTTCTCCTGGCACACCCGGAGAAGGAAGCCATTGGGTGCAAGCTGAAGAGAGCAAGTGCCAAAGGGCTCTGGGCCATTAGCTTGTGGACAAGGCCTGTGGGAGGCGGGCTGGCAGATGGAGAACAGCACAGGACAGGTTTGTGTTTTCTTTGTTGGGTTCCTTTTGTTCTGACAGCTTTGTGGTTTGGACACTGTCCCACAAATGTTTTGGGTCTCCTCAGGGAGCGGCACAGAAATGCGCCAGTGAAGAAATAACTCTGTGTGTGTGTGTGCATGTGTGTGTGTGTGTGTGTGAGAGAGAGAGAGAGAGAGAGAGAGAGAGAGAGAGAGAGATGGCATTTGGCCACTAAAGTAAAGGTAAAGGCTCCCTTGCTCGAAAGCCAGTCGAATCCGACTCTAGGGTTGCGGTGCTCATCTCCGTTTCAAAGACGAAGAGCCAGCGCTGTCTGAAGACGTTTCCGTGGTCATGTAGCCGGTATGACCAAACACCAAGGCACACGGAACGCTGTTACCCTGCTCACCCACAGCTGTACCCCCCTAGGCTGTAGGGTTGCCAACTGTGGGCTGGGAAATCCCCGGAGATTTGGGGGTGGAGCCTGGGGAAGGTGCAGTTTCAGGAGGGAAATCAGCAGGGGGGCACTCTCGGACTTCCATTTGTCATAGAGTCCATGGCACAGGTGTCGAACTCTTTTGCTATGAGGGCCGGGGATCTGATATAAATGTCACTTTGTCGGGCCGGGCCACGTGTGCCATAAAACGTAATGCCAGGTACCAGATATATAAACTGTATAAAGGACAGCAGCTGGTAAGTTCCGAATTGGTGTATCCTCACTGCAAGGCCCCTTGGGGTGGGGGGTGCAGAGGAGAACCCACAGAAGTGGACCGGAGTGCAGCGTTGGGCAGATGCTCCCACGATGCTTGACTGCCGCAAACAAGGTTGTTCTGCCATGCTGAAGCCACAATCTCCCCTGTTCCCTCCCTTGCACTAGTTGCTCACGGGCCACATAAGAGCCCTGGACGGGCCAGTTCCGGCCCCCGGGCCTTAAGTTTGACACCCCTGCTCTATGGTAGACCATAGAGTCTGCCACCCCAAAGCTGCCATTTCCTCCAGGGTAGAGTTGTCATTCCCCTGGCGGTGCCAGAGAAACTGCCGATTTTCAGGGCTTCAGCCTCCTGCCAGCTGGCAGGAGAAGCCCCACCTCCAAACAGGGAAGTCGCGTGGGGATGCTCGGGTATTTAGGCAATATGTATGGTTTTGAGGCCTCAAAACCATAGAATTTGCCCAAATACCAGAGCGCCCCCACGCAACGTCCCCGCCCACCCAACAGAACGCCCACCAGAGTCCCCCGATGAATGAACGGTAAGGCCCAGCAACCCTACTCCAGGGGAATGGATCTCTGTAGTGTAGAGGTTACTAAATTCCAGGAGCTCTCCAGCCCCCACCTGGAGGTTGGCAACTACTCTACTAAGTAGGGGTTTAGCCACACACCCCTCAAGTTTGTCTGCATTGAGGCTGGCAAAATCTGGACACGGGAGCCCCTTTACTATAACTTACACACCCTTTCCCAGCCCAACGCAAAGGCCTTTTCCCATTGCCACCCACCAGGAGAGGATTGATGCGCATGTACGGGGGCCAGTCGGGGTCGGTCATGTGGAAGGGCGTCAAGGTGCAGGAATAAGGGTCGGTCCGCCGGGTACCCATCAACACGGCCTCCAGCTCCGGATGCTGCAGCTTCAGGTCGGCCAGGGCCTGCTTGATGTTCCCGTGGACCTCACAGACGTGGAGGTTATACCTGCGGGGGGAACAAGAGCACGTCAGAAGGTGTGAGGGGCTGGGGGGTGCAAACCAGGAACCTTGCGGCCGGCCAGCGTGTGCTTAGTATGGGTCTCACAATACCTTCCAAGTGCAGGAGAAAAAGGAAATGTACAGCATCCGCCGTTCCAATTGGCCAGCAGTATGGAGCTTCTGGATTGGCTGGCAATATGGAGCATCTGGATTGGTAGGCAGTATGGAGCCCCTGGATTGGTCGGCAGCACAAAGCCTCTGGATTGGCCTGGCCCAATATAAATACTGGGAATCTGGCTCTCTGAGTGATTAACACATGGAATTCACTGCCAGAGGAAGTGGCGGCGGCTACAAGCATGGACGGCTTCAAAAGTGAATTAGATAAGCATATGGAGCAGAGGTCCATCAGTGGCTATGAGCCACAAGGTATAGATAGGGGCTCTGGGGCAAGTGATGCTCTGTCTTCTTGGTGCTTGGGGGGGGCAGCAGTGGGAGGGCTTCTAATGTCCTGGCCCCACTGGTGGACCTCCTGATGGCACCTGGTATTTTTGGCCACTGTGTGACAGAGCGTTGGACTGGAGAGGCCTGTGGCCTGATCCAACATTTGCGTCTCTTATGTTCTTATGTCACTGCCCAGTTAACAGAATGGTAACTTCTACTTGTTGTAGTTCAATCTCCATTTTCCATGACTTACCTTAGGGGCTATGGAACTGAAGCACAAAAGCTTCAGTTCCATAGCTTGTGTGGGATCCTCAGGTAGGGTTGCCAGCCTCCAGGTGGGGCCTGGAGATCTCCTGGAATTACAACTGATCTCCAGACTACAGAGACCAGTTCCCCTGGAGGAAACGGCCGCTCAGGAGGGGAGTGTCTCTGTGGCTGGACCCCGCTGAGGTTCCTCTCCTCCCCAACCCTGCCCTGGTTCCCAAATCTCCCGGAATTTCCCAAACTGGAGTTGGCAACCCAGCATGCAAAAAAACCCCCAATGTCTTCTACCAACTCAGCCTAGCTCGTAAGGTGGCCCACACAGTAACATCAAGACTAGACTACTGTAGAACAGAATAGGAAGTTTATTGTATGTGGCCATTGGCTGTCACAATTTCATATAAAACTGGCTCCCTAATATCTTAATCTTAACATTTAGATATTAAGTCGACTAGGCTACTGTAAAGCGCTGTACATTGGTCCTCCCTCGAAATCAACTTGGAAACTTCATCTGGGCCAGGATGCCACAATAATAACAATAATAGTAATCACCGTGTGGCAATGTGTGTAGAATAGCCAGAAGATCCTAAGTGTGTCTGGCATCCAGAGGCTCTTAGCTCTTTTTGTGCAATGCACCACTAGGTGGCGAGCTAGACTTGTTTTGGGGCCGAGAGAGCTCTGAGAGAGCTGCACCAATGTTCCCTCTGAGTTAGTGTGGAGCTAGCTCACAGTTTCTTAGCCTCTGGCTCACACATTTTTTGTCTCAGCTCAGGAAGGAGGGCTCCAGAGCAAACTGATTTATGCAGCAGTCAAATCACTTGCTCACAACTTTAAGGCCAGGAGCTCACAAAGTGGAATTGTTGCTCACAAGACTCCACAGCTTAGAGGGAGCATTGGCTGTGACTGGCCAAAGGTCATCCAGCTGGCTTCAAGTGGAAGAGTGGGGAATTGAACCCGGTTCTCCAGATTAGAGTCTGCCGCTCCTAACCACTATGCCACGCTGGCTCCCATATGGTCCTCAAAAGGAGAATGTACCAGATATTAAACTGATAAGAACAGATACTGCACTTGATCTTAGCCAAAAGGCCGAGAATGCTGCCGCTTGGCTATTTCAGTGGGAGCCGGGCAGGCATATGATTCCCGTTTTGCAGGCACTCCATTGGGCGCCCATTTATTTACCAGGCTCTATTTAAGGTACTGGCCATTGCACACAAAGCCCTCCATGGTCTTGGTCCCTCTTCTTTGCGGGACCGCCTCTCCCCCCTGAGTTCCGCCATGGCAACTTCGCTCCGCCATGACAACTACTTGCCCATCCGCTTCACTGGATGCCCTCAAGTTCTAGTCTTTCGGGAGAGGGGGGAGAAGTTCCCTTTCTCGTCTCTCTCCACCCCATGCACCGTTTCATCAACCTCTGCCATGTCCAGTGCTCCCTCTAAGCTGTGGAGTCTTGTGAGCAAAAATTCTGCTTTGTGAGCCACTGGCATTAAAGGTGTCAGCGAGCAATTGGGCTGCTGCATCAATTAGTTTGCTCTGGAGCCATCCTTCCTGAGCAAAGGCAAAAATCTGTGAGCTGGACGCTAAAAAACTGTGAGCTGGCTCACATTAACTCAGCTTAGAGGGAACACTCTTTGTGAGCTACTGGCTATTAAAGCTGTGAGGGAGCGATTTGGCTACTGCATAGATTAGTTTGCTCTGGAGCCTTCCTTCCTGAGCCAAGACAAAAATGTGTGAGCCGGAGGCTAAAAGAATGTGAGCCAGCTCGCACTAACTCAGCTTAGAGGGAACACTGTGAGCTACGTGTGGACTGGAGGCTAAAAAACCTGTGAGCTACCTCGCACTAACTCAGCTTAGGGGGAACACTGTTTGTGAGCCACTGGCATCAAAGTTGTGAGCGAGCGATTTGGCTACTGCCTACATTTAGTTTGCTCTGGAGCCATCCTTCCTGAGCTGAGACAAAAACGTGTGAGCCGGAGGCTAAAAAAACTGTGAGCTGGCTCGCACTAACTCAGCTTAGGGGGAACACTGTTTGTGAGCTACTGGCATTAAAGTCGTGAGCGAGCGATTTGGCTGCTGCATAAATTAGTTTGCTCTGGAGCCCTCCTTCCTGAGCGAAGGCAAAAATCTGTGAGCTGGACGCTAAAAAACCGTGAGCTACCTCACACTTAACTCAGCTTACAGGGAACACGGGTCACGTCCCCTCCCTTAGTCGCCTCTTTTCTAAACTGAGAAGTCCCGGACTCTTCAGCCTTTCCTCACAGGGAAGGTGCTACAATCCTCTAATCGTCTTGGTCGCCCTCCTCTGTACTGAGTCTCAAGGCTCTTGGGAACTGCACTTTCGTGAAGGTGGCCAGTTTTCCCCCAGCCAACGACGCCATTTCCTAGGCCTTTCAACAAAGCCAACTGCTCCTTACCGCTCAGCCGTGACGCCGATGAACTGCTCCATCTCAGGAAATGGGGAGACAGTGCGTATGTTCAGCGCCTGCAGCTTCTCTGTCCTTTCCGGGTATCGCCTGCAAGGGAGACGTGAAGCTGTTTAGGTGTTGAGCAAAGTATGGTTGAAGGCCAGAGGTCATAACTTGACCATTCCCACAGAGTCACAGACAGATTCATGGATGCTAGGTCTATCAGTGGGCGGCTAAGAGGCCATGGTGACTAAAGGGAACTTCTGCATTCAGAGGCACTAAGTCTCTGAATCCCAGAGCCAGGAGGTAACATCAGGGAAAGGCCTCGGCCTCTCTGCCCTGTTGTTGTCCCTCCAGAGGAACTGGTTGAGGCCGCTGTGTGAGACAGGAGGCTGGACTAGATGGACCCTCACTGGTCTGATCCAGCAGGGCTCTTCAGATGTTCTTATGAGGGGAAGGCCTCGGCCTCTCTGCCCTGTTGTTGTCCCTCCAGAGGAACTGGTTGAGGCCGCTGTGTGAGACAGGAGGCTGGACTAGATGGACCCTCACTGGTCTGACCCAGCAGGGCTCTTCTGATGTACTTATCAGGGGAAGGCCTCGGTCTCTCTGCCCTGCTGTTGGCTCTCCAGTGGAACTGGTTAAGGCTAGTGTGTGAGGCAGGATGCTGGACTAGATGGACCCTCACTGGTCTGACCCAGCAGGGCTCTTCTGATTTTCTTATCAGGGGAAGGCCTCGGCCTCTCTGCCCTGCTGTTGGCCCTCCAGAGGAACTGGTTGAGGCCAGTGTGTGAGGCAGGAGGCTGGACTAGATGGACCCTCACTGGTCTGATCCAGCAGGGCTCTTCTGATGTTCTTGTGAGGGGAAGGCCTCGACCTCTCTGCCCTGTTGTTGGCCCTCCAGAGGAACTGGTTGAGGCCACTGTGTGAGGCAGGATGCTGGACTAGAAGGACCCTCACTGGTCTGATCCAGCAGGGCTTCCCTTAAGATTTTCTGGATACAAGCTTTCAAGAGTCAAAGCTAACAAAGACTGAAAGAAAGAGAGACCAGCCTAAAGTCATCCAAAAAGCAAGGACCGGAATGTAGGACTCTCTAACTACCACACCTCTGTGGCAGCCAGGGCATGGGGGTGGGGTGGAGAGAACTGTTGTAGGCCTGTAGAGTCAAGGCGAAGAATCGAGAAGACACCTTGTGGATATGTTCTCCCAATTTTTTTACAGCAATAAGGACTGGAAACGTGTGCCTGTCTTTGAAAGTACCCAGAGATTTATTAATTCATTTCACTGTTGATCTATTTCCCCCCACAGAAAACTCAAGACAGATTCACAAGTTCTGCAGAAATGTCTGTGTTCTGGGCTGCTACGGTGCACCTGGCTATTCAATCAAGGCTGGGGAGACTCTCAGAAAAAGCATTGCCAACTCCAGGTTTGGAAATACCAGGTAAATTAGAGGGTGGAGCCTGGGGAGGGCGGGGTTTAGGAAGGGGAGGGACCTTGGGAGGGTGTAATGCAAGGGTGTCAAACATGTGGCCCGGGGGCCGGATCAGGCCCCCAGTGTGGAACTGGCCCTCTCCTGCTTCCAGTTCTGCTGCTGCTGCTGCATCATAGCTTGCTTCGCCAGACTCTCCTAATCACTCAGCCATTTCATGTTTCAACCTGGGTCCTACACTCAAAGCATGAGATTTCTGTGGTGAATGTCAATGAATCAAAAGTAAGTTTGCAGCTTACAGACACACACTTGAACAGCAGCAGACTCAAGATTGCAACAGCACAGACATTCTGATGCAATAATTCAGAGCAAGAGGTGACAGTTCTCAGATACTGTTCAATAAACAAAATATTGCAAGAGTGCTAATGTTTTAAGCATGTTTTATTTAAAGTTTTAAAAAAATCTTTAATTGTGTTTGTGTCCTTCATCAAGTTTATATCTCCACTACCTGGCATTACATTTCATGACACTCATAGCCTGGCCCAACATGGTCTCCTTTATGTCAGATCTGGCCCTCGTAACAAATGAGTTCGACACCCCTGGTCAATGCTCCATCTAAGCTGTCGAGTCTTGTGAGCAAAAATTCTACTTTGTGAGCTACTAGCATTAATGCTGTGAGCGAGCGATTTGGCTACTGCATAAAGTAGTTTGCTCTGGAGCCATCCTTCCTGAGCAGAGACAACAATGTGTGTGCCAGAGGCTAAAAAACTGTGAGCTAGCTCACACTAACTCAGCTTAGAGGGAACACTGCCCCTGGTATAATGCCTCACAGTCCACCTTCCAAAGCAGCCATTTTTCTTCAGGGGAAGTAGAATAAATGCTTTAAATAAATAAATAATAAACACATCGAGTAGACTGTTGTCGTCTGGACATCAGTTGTAAGTCCGGGAGACTTGAATGATAAAAGGGTTGGAACACTTTCCCTATGAGGAAAGGTTAAAGCGCTTAGGGCTCTTTAGTTTGGAGAAAAGACGACTGAGGGGTGACATGATCGAGGTTCACAAGATTATGCATGGGAAAGAGCAGGTAGAGAAAGAGGTACTTTTCTCCCTTTCTCACAATACAAGAACTCGTGGGCACTCCATGAAACTGCAGAGCGGTCGGGTTAGAACGGATAAAAGGAAGTACTTCTTCACCCAAAGAGTGATTAACACATGGAATTCACTGCCACAGGAAGTGGTGGCGGCTACAAGCATGGACGGCTTCAAAAGGGAATTAGATAAGCATATGGAACAGAGGTCCATCAGTGGATATTAGCCACAAGGTATAGATAGGGGCTCTGGGGCAAGTGATGCTCTATCTTCTTGGTGCTTGGGGGGGTCAACAGTGGGAGGGCTTCTAATGTCCTGGCCCCACTGGTGGACCTCCTGATGGCACTGGTATTTCTGACCACTGTGTGACACAGAGTGTTGGACTGGATCGGCCTTTGGCCTGATCCAACATTGGCGTCTCTTATGTTCTTATGAGACCTCCAGCCTGCACCTGGAGGTTGGCAACCTCTACCCAGAAGCCTTTCTTAATTTAGCGTAGGGCGGACCAATGCAAAAGGGGCGGGGGAGATAGAGACAGTACCTCTGCACAACGGCATGGAAGAGGTGCAAGAGAGCCGTGCAGTCCTTCCCACCATTGAACCCGATGCAAAGTTTTGACAGCGGGTACCGATCCAGGGCTTCCTCGATGGTCTGGACCGCTGCTGCCACCTTCTGGCCAACAGGAGAACCTGCGGACAGCAAGAAGGGTGAAAAGACTAGTGGACAGGAAGCTGGCAAAGTTATTTTCATTCCTTTCTTTTCTTTATGTTATAGTCCACCTTTTTCACTTGGACTCAGGGTGAATTACAGTAGAATTGACAGATCCAGATAGTCAGCCGTCTTGGTCTGAAGCAGGAGAACAAATTTAGAGCTGGTGACACCTTTCAGACCAACAAAGGTTTATTCAAGGTATGAGCTTTCGTGCGCAAGGCACACGTTTTCAAATACACTGGAATGGCAGATGAGGTTCTAAACTTATAGGCAGGGATTTAACAGCAAATTAACCTGTAACATGATGAGGTTTAAGTTATGCAAAGTGAAAAGTAGTTAAGGTTATAAGGGGTCAACAGTTGTACGGCAATAAATATGTCACAACAGCTGATAAATGTACCACTGACAGAACGGGATATTCCATACACAGTGCCATAAGATTAGGGATGTAGAACCACGCAGAAGTCTAAAAAGACAGAACCGAAGCAAAGCATGAGAGGTGACCCGAAACATTAAATGATGCAGAAGTTACCCAGTTAGGATCCTGGTTTCAGCAAGCTCTGCACAGTAGTACAGCCCACAGTCCCTAAGAATTTATCCAAGTAACTCTGTGAATCGTATAACGAATGGACAGTAGGAGCGTGAGACATGTATGCTGATTTTCAATACAAATGTTGTCAGATGGGTAAAGAAAGAGGTACTTTTCTCCCTCTCTCACAATACAAGAACTCGTGGGCACTCCATGAAATTGCTGAGCGGTCGGGTTAGAACGGATAAAAGGAAGTCCTTCTTCACCCAAAGAGTGATTAACACTTGGAATTCACTGCCACAGGAAGTGGTGGCGGCTACAAGCACGGACAGCTTCAAGAGGGAACTGGATAAGCATATGGAGCAGAGGTCCATCAGTGGCTATTAGCCACAAGGTATAGATAGGGACTCTGGGGCAAGTGATGCTCTGTCTTCTTGGTGCTTGGAGGGGGGGGTCAACAGTGGGAGTGCTTCTAATGTCCTGGCCCCACTGCTGGGCCTCCTGATGGCCCCTGGTATTTCTGGCCACTGTGTGATACAGAGTGTTGGACTGGATGGGCCTTTGGCCTGATCCAACATTGGCATCTCTTATGTTCTTATGTTCTAACGTTCAGATGTCATAAAAGTGCTGTTCACGAATGGAGCTGGGGCCCAAACGCTGCGTCCCCACGCTATTGGGTAGGAGGGACCCTGTCTGCTGCCTCTCCACGCTCTGATGGGCTCAGAAGAACTGTTGGGAAGTTGGAGATGGGGGGGGGGGACCTCAGCCTTGCCTGCTGCTGCCTGCCTCAACAGCTATGTGTATCTAACACTGGAAAGGCTGCTTGACTTGAATTCTCACCCCCTGCTCGGTGCAGGATCAGGCTAGAGCGTCCCTAACCAGTGTTTGTCCAGCCACTGCTTGAAGACGGCCGGTGAGGGGGAGCTCACTGCTTCCCTAGGCAGCCCATTCCACTGTGGCACAACTCTGACTGTCAAAAAGCTTTTCCTTAAGATCCAGCCGGTACCTTCCCACCCTTAATCTAAACCCATGATTGCGAGTCCTCTCCTCTGCTGCCAACAGGAACAGCTCCCTGCCCTCCCCTAAGTGACAGCCCTTCCAATACTTCAAGAGAGCCATCCTGTCCCCCCTCAGCCTCCTCTTCTCCAGGCTAAACATTCCCGAGTCCCTCCGCCTTTCCTCCCAGGGCTTGGTCTCCAGGCCCCTGATCATCCTCCCCGCTCTCCTCTGCACCTGCTCTATTCTGCCCCCATCCCTTTTGAAGTGAACTTGAAGTGAAGCTTGCCTGGGCTAATCAGATCAGGGCTTCGTCAGATACTTTTGACTCTCGAAAGATAAGGCTTTGACTCTCAAAAACTCATATCCTGAAAATCTTGTTCATCTCTAAGGTGTGACTAGACTCAAAACTTGCTCTTCTACCGCCAACCAACATGAAAAATAGATTCTTTTGAACTATGGTGCTGGAGAAGACTCTTGAGAGTCCCTTGGACTGCAAGAAGATCAAATCAGTCAATCCTAAAAGAAATCAACCCTGGAAGGCCAGATAATGAAACTGAAGCTCAAATACTTTGGCCACCCAATGAGAAGGGAGCACTCACTGGAGAAGACCCTGATGCTAGGAAAGATCGAAGGTCAAAGAAGGCGGGGACGGCAAAGGATGAGATGGTTAGACAGTGTCATAGATGCAACGAACATGAAATTGAGCAAACTTCAGAGGACGGCGGAAGACAGGAAGGCCTGGCGTGTATGAATGGCTGAGTGTGTGAACTGCTCTCTATCGTAGGCATTGTAACTCTTCCCAAGATACCTCCCTTGTCTAGGGACAACCTTGAGCCAAACAGTGCCAGCTTGCTACTCTAGATAAAGAAACGGTATATTCACAGGTGTGTGTGGGGGGGAGTGAGCGTGAATGCTAGGCAGGATGGCTAAGACATGCGATTGGACGTATGGAGGGCTACGTTTGAACTGTCTATATCTTTCCCGCCAGATCCTCAGTTCTGACACGGTACTGATCTAGCCTGGAACATGATTATTTCTCAATAAACAAAACACTGCAAAGAGAGTGCTGTTGAGAGTAACTTCGTCCAGGGGTCTGGCACATGGCTACCCTCTGAAGGTATACTGTAGGGGGTCGGCTAACCCCCGGCTGATACGAGTGTCCGGCATCCCCTCATGGTGGAGTTGCCAACCTCCAGGTGGCCCCTCGAGCCTCGAGATCTCCTGCAATTACAATTCATCTCCAGAGGAGCAAGATCAGTCCACCTGGAGAGAACGGCTGCTTTGGAGGGGGGGACTCTATGGGATCATACCATGCTGAGGACCCTCCCCTCCCCCAAACCCCGCCCTTCCCAGGCTCCACCCCCAAAATCTCCAGGTATTTCCCAACCTAGAGCTGAAGAGAAGAAGAAGAGACTGGATTTATACCCCGCCCTTCACTACCCAAAGGAGTCTCAGAGCAGCTTACAAACTCCTTTCCCATCCCCTCCCCACAACAGACACCCTGTGAGGTAAAAGAAGAAGAGGATTTATACCCCGCCCTTCACTACCAAAGGAGTCTCAGAGCGGCTTACAAACTCCTTTCCCTTCCCCTCCCCACAACAGACACCCTGTGAGGTAGAAGAAGAAGAAGAAGAGATTGGATTTCTACCCCGCCCTTCACTACCCAAAGGAGTCTCAGAGCGGCTTACAAACTTTCCCTTCCCCTCCCCACAACAGACACCCTGTGAGGTAGAAGAAGAAGAAGAGACTGGATTTATACCCCGCCCTTCACTACCCAAAGGTGTCTCAGAGCGGCTTACAAACTCCTTTCCCTTCCCCTCCCCACCACAGACACCCTGTGAGGTAGGTGGGGGCTGAGAGAGCTCTGACAGGAACTGCTCTTTTTCAAGGACAGCTCTTATCAGAACTACCGTGTTTCCCCGAAAATAAGACAGTATCTTATATTAATTTTTGCTCCCAAAGATGCACTAGGTCTTATTTTCAGGGGATGTCTTATTAAGAAGAATACGGCACACTCTGTCAGGGCAGAGCGAGCAGCAGGCGGCAGCTTGTCCTGGCGGCGGCGCGGGCTCTCTGATTAAAAGAGACCTCACACTTCCTGTCTGCTCCGGGGGGCCTTATTATCGGGGAGGTCTTATTTTCGGGGATGCCTTATATTTCAGCGAGAGGCAAAACTGTAAGTAGGTCTTATTTTCGGGGGATGTCTTACTTTCGGGGAAACACGGTATGGCTTGCCCAAGGCCATCCAGCCAGGTGCAAGTGGAGGAGTGGGGAATCAAAGCCGGTTCTCCCAGATTAGAGTCCGCGCACTTAACCACTACACCAAACCCGACCTCCTGGACCTCGCTGGCAGCAGCGCAGGCCCCGGAGGAGATGGAGGTACCTGTAATAAAATACACTTAACGGGTCCTGACCCTACCTGACTTGGCGAGTGTGTACACATCCGTGGCCGCCCGGGAGACGGGGTCTGTTACGAAAGGTACCACGGTGCCCTCGGGCAGGTTCTCCACCAGGAAAGCGTGGGCCTCCTCCAGGCGACTCTCCGACTCAGAGTCCAAGGTGAGTTTGACCCGGAAGTAGTTGCTAACCCAATCTGGGTAGGAGCCCAGGCTCGTGTGACGTCTGAAGCGCCCATAAGCCCGGTCTAGTATCGGGGCGATGCGAGTCTCCTCCGAGTCCACATAGATCTCCCGGGAATAGAAGCGGGTCTGCTCATTGCGGAAGAGATGGCCGAGCCCCTCGAGGGCCCGCTCCATTAATGATGGAATGCCCGGGAAGATGTAGACGTTACGGACGCTGATGAGGGGGTACTTGAAGGCGAGGCCCGTTTTCTGGTCGACGCCGTAGTTGAGGAGCGAGGATTCGGGGACGCGGGCCAGCTTCATCTCGGGACACTCTGCGTCCGTCTTGGCGAAGAACTTCTTCACCAGGTCGACCATCTCTGGGTGGGGGAAGACCTTTTCCCCAAAGGCCTGCGCCACGGCCTCAAAAGTGACGTCATCGTGGGTGGGGCCGATCCCGCCCGACGTCAGGACGTAGGTGAACTTGCAGGAGAAGGATGAGATCTCGGCGGCAATGGGGTCCACCTCGTCGGGGACCACGGAGATCTTGGCCACCTTCACGCCCAGCGACCGCAGCTTCTTGCACATGAAGAAGGAGTTGGTGTCGTGGGTGTACCCCTGCCAGAACACAGAACCATCGTTGCCGCTAAAAACCTACCCAATTCTATAACTTTAGGCAGGCCGCGCAAATCTGCATACCTTTTCATCTTCTGCTTCCCTTGTATCTCTTGCCACCAGACAAAGAGTAGGGTAGCCAGCAGTGCTCCCTCTGAGCTGAGTCAGTGTGAACTAGCTCATAGCTTTTTAGCCTCCAGCTCACCCATTTTTGTCTCAGCTCAGGAAGGAGGGCTCCAGGGCAAACTAACTTATGCACGAGCCAAATCGCTGGCTCACAACTATAATGCCCGTAGCTCACAAAGTAGATTTTTTGCTCACGAGACTCCACGGCTTAGAGGGAGCGTTGTGTGGCCAGCTCTGGGCTGAGAAATACCTGGAGATTTGGGGGTGCAACTTGGGGAGGGCGGGGTTTGGGGAGGGGAAGGACTTCCATGGGGTATAATGCCAGAGAGTCCACCTCCCAACATGGCCCATTTTTATGGTATTGTGTGTGTGCGTGCACGCACACGTGCCTGGAAGTTATGGCTGACTTCTGGCGACCCCTAGTGGAGCTTGGAGGCAAGGGACGTTCACAGAGGCGGCTTGCTATTGCCTGCCTCTGCATCCCAGACCTGGTATTCCTCGGAACTCTCCCTTCCAATTACTTACCAGGGTCGGCCCTGCTTAGTTTCTGAGATCTAACAAGATCGGGCTTTCCTGGGCTATCCAGGGCAGGGCCAAAATGGACATTTCGAGTTGAACTGATCTCTGGTTGTCTGGAGACTAGTTGCAACCCCAGGTTGTCTTCAGCCACCACCTGGAGGTTGGCAGCTGTAACAGAGATACAAGTAGCCCTACCCTCCAGGCCTTTCCCACAAATAAAGGACTTGTCTGACAACACTGGAGAGGTAAATGCCCACCTCTGATAAATCAAGACCTTAGAACTTCATCGCTATTGGAAGACATGGCATATAAGACAGCAACTGCATATGGACTTGTTTTAAGATGTTTGGAAACCCTTCCTAGAAACCTATGTGTAGATCTGCTACCACTGTTCTTATATTTATTCTTTCTAGTGGCTGGATTTTGAGTATTCCCCCTTCTTGTTCTTTTTTTTTTTTGTTTTAAAGGAAATTTTAAAAAATCTAGGCACACATGATAATAGCTATATGACATCTCCATATTCTGGGGCAGTTTATCCTTGAACACCAGCTGTTGGAAAGTAATCGCAAGGAGTACCCTGAGTCCTTCTTGCCCTGCTTGCAAGATTCCTAGAAACATCTGCCTGGCTTAGAGACAGCAGCCTCCAGGTGGGACCCGGGGACCCCCCCGGAATTACAGCTCATCTCCAGACTACACTAATCAGTTCCCCTGGAGAAAATGGATGCTTTGGAGGGTGGACTCTACGGTGTCATACGCCACTGAGGTCCCGGCCTTCACCTGGCCCCATCCCCAAATCTCCAGGAGTTTCCCAACCTGGATCTTGCAATCCTCCATCCGAACCCCAGGAACCTGGCAGCCCTAGTTAGATGTCTTCCCCCTGGGTCTGATTCAATGAGGGGGAAGAAGAAGAAGAAGAAGAAGAAGAAGAAGAAGAAGAAGAAGAAGAAGAAGAAGAAGAAGAAGAAGAAGAAGAAGAAGAAGAAGAAGAAGAAGAAGAAGAAGAAGAAGAAGAGGAGGAGGAGGAGGAGGAG